GTGTGTGTGTGTGTGTGTGTGTGTACTACCTTATGCATTAAAGTATAGAGGTATTTTTCCTAATATTTTAACAATTAAATATTATACACTTGTCTCTGAACGATTTACGTATATTTTTCTTAATGAAATTACAGCATTTCAGGTTGTCGTAATTGAGAGGCACTATGCGTATTTGAGTATTTGAGTCATATAGTAATGTATAACAATAATGACTTTCAACTGTGACAATGTGAAATACTATTACTTCATTGAGAAAAATATATGCAAATAGTTTTTGGACCGAATTATATCTAAGTAAATCTTATATGCTTAAGTATCTCAAAGTAAAATATAGGATAGCTTGTAAAATATGTACATACATGTACTTCTGAGGAAATGAAAAGAACATTAGACATATTGTAAAACAGGTATAGTCGCATTAATAACTTTTTCAGAGAAAGAACAAGTATGTCGACAAATACTGAACTTTTAAAATGCATACAAGGAAAACAACTGATCAAGATACATAAAGATGTATTAAACAGTTCGAAAGACACAAAACAGCAAAAAGATGCAAAGGAGAGATTCGAAAGTGGAGATATTTTTGAATCAAATGTTGCAGAAGAAGAGAACACAACGTATGCACAAATTTATGTTTTTGTCCTCATTACATTCTTCTCTCTCTCTCTCTCATTACATATATACATATATCGATATATTAAAATACAATTGTGTTTTTTTGCAGAAATGAAATAATTGTTCACGAAACAGATCAAAATAAAAAAACATTACTGAGGCTATTGAAAAAAGCAGAAGAAGAAAAAAATAAACTTTTAGAGGAACGACAAGAACTTATTGGAAAAAATCAACAATCAAGTTTACATATTAAAGAATTAGAAACAAATCTCGTGCAAAAATCGAATACCAATGATCAAATGGCATTTGATAAACAGAAACAGGTGGAAGAAATAGTTAATAAAGTTTTGCGAAAAGTATTTACTGTTGGACAAATTAAAATATTAATGTCGCAAAATGAGAATGTTCGGATTCGATGGACGCCAGAGGATATTACATCTGCTATAGCGTTACGATCGCTAAGTCCAAAGGCATACCGATACTTACGAGACGTAAAAAAAATTTCACTACCGTGTTTAACAACTCTACATAAGTGGTGTTCATCTTTCAACATTCCACCCGGAATTTTGAAAGATGTCTTTAAGATAATGAAAAAAAAAGGACAGAATTTTAGTATAGAACAAAGATTAATTGTATTAACATTTGATGAATTATATATATCAAATAAAGTAGACTTAGATCGCAAGGAACAAAAAATTTATGGGCCACATAAAACATGCCAATTCGTAATGGTCCGAGGGCTATTCGATAAATGGAAACAGCCGATATACTATGACTTTGATAAGTCAATGTCTGCAGATACTTTGCTGACAGTGATAAAAAGTCTTTACGAAATAAATTATATAGTTGTAGCTGTAACGTGCGACATAGGACCTACAAATATAAAATTATGGAACGAATTGAACGTTGGAATAAATATTTCAACACATTCCGGAAAAAGAAATGTGAAACAAGACATCGAGAAATTAAATTATATTGCACATCCAGCTGATAACAGTTTAAAAATATATTTTTATGCAGATGTTCCTCACTTGTTAAAATTGGCCAGAAACAACTTATTTGACTCTGGTTTTAAAGTGCAAGGAAAATTATTGAACAAGAGCTGTTTGGAGGAGTTACTGGCAATTAATGCTGGAGATTTAAAAATAGCTCACAAGTTAAGCAGAGCACACCTGGATGTCCGAGGAACACAGAGGCAAAACGTTAGAATGGCAGCACAAGTCTTTTCAAATAAAAATGCGTCAGCAATTCAGTGGTGCGGAGAGAAAAAATTACTTGCTTGCAATTATTGGAAAGAAACTGCTAATGTGCTGAAATTATTCAATGATTGGTTCAATATTTTCAACAGCAAACTGAAATATGGTCATAATGGCTCGTATGCATACGGAGTAAATTTAGAAGAGCAGAATAAAATAATTGATAACATAAATCAATTTATAGCAGAAATGCGAGTTGGAGAAAGGTTAACATTACTACAATTCCAAAAAGGAATTTTAATATCGAACAAATCTCTAGTCGAAATGTTTCTATATCTTAAAGAAAAATATTCATCTGAGGCGTTCCAAATGGAATATCTGTTCACGAACCGATTAAATCAAGACATACTGGAAAATTTATTTTCCTATTTGAGAATGATGGTGGAGGAAACGATCATCCGTCACCTGTAGAATTAAAAAATTGATTAAAGTGGTACATACTAGGAAAACATTCCGGATATTCTATTTCACCAGGCGAAAATACTGCGGGAGATAACAGTTCCACAATTCTTAGTAGTATGAAAGATACGAGTAATGATGAAGTATATGAACCATCATGTTCACTTGGTATATCAGTAAATGATGAAGTGAGGCAGAAATCACAAGTCTTTGATGACAATGAAGGAAAAGAAGAAGAAGAAATGCTTATGAAAATGTCTGAAGAAGAGGAAATAGAAAATGAAATTGAAGAAATATTAATGGGAAAAGATAATGATATAGAACAGAGAGAGGCAGAAAACAGTGAAGGTAAAAAAATTGAAATATTTATCTTTATTAATATTTTATTGAAATATTTATTTTTATTTATCTTTATTGAAATATTTATCTTTATTTGTTATTTCTATTTTCTACAACCGATGGGTAAGCTGACAGTTAAATTATATGTCTGTCTACAAATAGAATATTTATCTCTATTCGGTTTAGTATACAATTAACATTTTGTATTGTTAAATTATGTTTCTAATTTTCTATTTGTTCATGTCGGTACTTTCTATTTATTATTTCATTTTCAGCAATAAACTTAAGTAGTTACGAACCTACTTTACAAGAATTACAATTATTAAAAAATTTTGAACAAATAACAGCAAATGAAATAATAGAACAAAATGCTTTATTGTACATTGCTGGTTATGTTGCACACCGTTTTCGGAATTCGTATAGCACTTTGGGTTCCCCTACTAAGACATTTTCTCATATGCCGCCTGATTGACTTTCCTTTGTATCCCGAGGAAACTGCATGTATCCTAGTCTAGAATTCCAAAGAGCAGCAGAAATTATGAATATTGAATTTGTGCAATTCCACGGCAATTTTTTTAATAAAGAAAAATATATATTTGATAAGTTAACAGACATAGTATGTACAAAAATTGGCAATAGTTTTCCCAGAAAAGTAATTGCATGCCTTGTACGTACTCGAACATATATTCGATTAAGAGTAATAAATAAGGAAATTGCCGACAGTAATTTAATTAAAAAGAGAGGCAAAAAGACATATAAAATATGCAATAAGAAAAATATTAATATGCAATAGACGCTATAATATAGGAAAAATATATTTTGTAGATTCTCAGGTACCAACTGTTAATTTGAAATCTATATGCATAATTTATGCTGAGTCAAGAAAAAAATTGATATAATATAAAAAATAACTTATAACTTGACTCAGGTAAAATTATGGATTATAATCATTTATCTGTATCTGAACAATACGTATGCTAATAAGAAAATATGAGATTAGGAGAAAACTGGCAGTAGTATAGAATAATATGTATTGTTCTCAATTAAAAATTCTGACGCTTATATTTATGGATTTTATTTTCTAGGATATCATGCCATACGCGATTTTGGAACAAGGCAATTGAATTATCTCCACTCTAAAAAGAGAAGTTTGAACCACTAAAACAATTAATACATTTCGTTTATTTATTTTCTTTAGTAAAGTAATATGTTTATTATATGTATATATAAAATAAGAATATATATATAATATATTTATAAAAATGGACAATAATTTTTCTTATTGCGAGAATCATTTTTTACTCATTTTTTATTATTTCAGGTTTTTATTATTTATATATTGTACTTTATTGCAAATCTTAATTTTACATTTATTTTATTCATGTAATTATATTTTATTTATGTCATGTCATTAATTTTGTATTCAAATTTCGCGGGTGCATTTGGACCCAAATGTGATTGGTTGTTCCATCAAGCCACCGCCATTATGCGCAATGTTTCACCTGTCTTATTACACCATGGTTGCAATAACCAAGCCCGACAGGGCGTTCTATCCTTGTTGGTCGTAATGACCAAGACCGACAGGGCGTTCAGTAATTGTTGGTCGCAATGACCAAGCCCGTCAGGGCGTTCTCGAATCCTCGTAATGGCGTTCTTGTTTACAAACGTCCTTCCTTCTACAGCTCCGGTAACTTAGCCGGTCAACTTCGACTTTATTAATTTAATATTTTTTTATCGTTTGTTGGTCGTTTGTTGGTGATTGTTGGTCTAATTACAACGTTTGTTGGTTCTTAATTTTTTTTTAAATTTAAGAAGAAAAATTAGCAATAAGTTAGCCGGAAAAATTTTATTTTTAATTTCAAAAAAGCCTAATCGATGCGTAATCGTTTGCTGATGATTGTTGGTCTAATTTTAGCGTTTGTTGGTTTATTATTAGTCTTAAAAACGAAAAAAAACGAAAAATTATCTCACATATTAAAGTAATCGAAGATTGGTTTATTTGCCTACGACTTAATTAAGCTTTATTTCTATCAATTTAAGGCTAACATCTATAAAACTGCCATATGAATACGGGCCTTAACATCGGCAGAAAATCGCGAAAAGATAAAGAAACATGGTGATTCGTGGGAAGCACACACACACATACACAACGAGGGGGTGCGAGGGGGGGGGCCGAAGGCCCCCTCTCCCCCGCACCCACCCCGCCGGTAGGCTGCGTGGACCTCGCTTTACAACATAAAGTACATGCTAAGTTGTAAAACGAAATTATAAAGTACATGCATGGGGGAGGGGGCAGGGGAGAAAAGCCTTTCTGTTCACGTGCGCTCACGCATGTAAGCCCCCTTGCACCCCTCCATGCATGTGCTTTATAATTTCGTTTTACAACTTAGCATGTACTTTATGTTGTAAAGCGAGGTCCACGCAGCCTACCGGCGGGGTGGGTGCGGGGGAGGGGGGGCCAAAAACCCCCCTCGCACCCCCCCCGTTGTGTGTGTGTGTGTGTGTGTGTGTGTGTGCTTCCCACGAACCACCATGTTTTTTTATCTTTTCGCGATTTTCTGCCGATGTTAAGGCCCGTATTCATATGGCAGTTTTATAGATGTTAGCCTTAAATTGATAGAAATAAAGCTTAATTAAGTCGTAGGCAAATAAACCAATCTTCGATTACTTTAATATGTGAGATAATTTTTCGTTTTTTTTTCGTTTTTAAGACTAATAATAAACCAACAAACGCTAAAATTAGACCAACAATTATCAGCAAACGATTACGCATCGATTAGGCTTTTTTGAAATTAAAAATAAAATTTTTCCGGCTAACTTAATGCTAATTTTTCTTTTTAAATTAAAAAAAGAATTAAAAACCAACAAACGTTGTAATTAGGCTAACAATCGCCAATAAACGACCAACAAACAATAAAAAAATATGAAAATTAATAAAGTCGAAGTTGACCGGCTAAGTTACCAGAGCTTCCTTCTACGTACTCAGGCTGACAATGTGTTTCTTCTCGGTATCAGTATGGCTGATCTTCTTGAATATTATTTACTACCAGCTCGCGTATAAAGTATTACAATCCGAATGACTTTACTAACGTGTCTCGATTCAGAATTCGATCAGACGAATGTTCTCGAAATAACGATCGCAGTATGCGAACACGACTCTACGTGACGACTGCCAGACGAATGCACGCCCGCTGTGCTGCACGCACGTCCCGACACGCTGACGCTTGCGCAGTATCACGCTTCTTTCCCGGGTACCGTTGCTGCGGCGCAACGTGATCTTGCGCGCATTGATACATGAATTCGCTAGCGAAGTAGTAGCGGTACCACTGTCGCCTTCCGTGGCGGCGTCGACTTACATTCAACTCATTAATCACTAACAGATGTCGGGCCATACACAATCTCTCTCTCTCTCTCTCTCTCTCTCTCTCTCTCTCTCTCTCTCTCTCTCTCTCTCTCTCTCCTTTTAACTTATCTTTAAACAGAAGGGTATTAATGTTCCAATGATAACTGTGTTTCAAGTTCGATAAATAATCGGCGCGCAGTTTATTAAGTTATAATATATATGTATATTATATACATTGTAATTCGTTGCTTCTGTAACTATTAATTTCTTTACTTGCGCACCACGCTTGACTCGTATCGCTGTTTATTAATTTGTTGACATTTTCACGACTTTAATGACATATTTGAATGCTCTTTATATCCCGAGATTATCCAGATTGGAAGCGTTTTAATATTTTTTGTACAATACCCTTTGTACTTTTTGCTCTTCTATAAGCGAGAGGGGTACCCATAAGGAGCAGACTTTCTTTACTTGCAAATATTTGAGCAGAATGCAATAAACTGTAGGTACACCAATCTGAATAAGTTCGATTTGCCTGTAGGTGATACGTCTACTTTTTTGCAGCAGTTTTTTTATTACCGCGATGTTTTCTGTGTCCAATTGTGCGGTGTCCAATCTTTACGTGTCCAATATTATGTATCTAATCAAGCGGTGTCCAATCGTTACGTGTTCGGACGGGATACGCCCATTTGCGTACAGTAAAAAAATGGATATTTTAAGACAAGCACATGTAAAATACTAATTTTTAAAGAACTTACTTGTTGGATCCTAATTTTCCTATGCTTGGGTATCATATCATTTAGATTAGCTTTACTGGCCTCTTTCAAAGATTCAGTGCTAGGGGACGTATTAGTGATAATGCTTCGACCGACTTCACCAGAAATTGATTTTTTTATTTGACTAGTTCCGCATTTCTCTGTTACCTCTAGAGGATTTATGTAAAGGTTGCTATCTGCTTCCTCAGTCAAATCACCCTGTGAAGGCAAAGAAAATCAAAAGATGGTTACCACAGTTTAATTTTAGGATTCTTAAATGTAACTTTGTCATAAAAATGACAATAGTATATTGTGCACCAAGGGGTGAAAGTAGCGTTTTTCAGACGAGTGTGAAGTTTGTTGCCCAAGCCGAAAACGAGGGCGGCAAATCACACGAGTCTGAAAAAGCTTTCGCCCCGAGGTGCACACGATATTTTTTACAATATCTTTACGGAAAGTTCGACCTCCATGCCTAGAGAGAGGCGAAAATGGCCATTTCACGCCAGGACGGGATAGCGGGACGAAAGTAACCACTTTCCTCCTTAGGGCGGAAAGTAATCACTTTCGTCCCGCTAATGCCGTCCTGGCGTGAAATTGGTCACTTTCGCCCCTCTCTACAGGCATGGAAAGTCGAACTTTCCGTGGAGGTGTTGTGAAAACGTCTTTCCGTGCATATGAATAATTTATCTAGTAATAATAATTAATGTAGTAATAATGAAAGTTTTTAGTAATATCCAGTAATAAATAACAGTTTTTAATAGTAAAAATCAGATAGTAGTGTTACTATCTGGGGGGGCTCGGGCGGGGTCCCTACGGGGCCCTTGTCACAAGTGCTCCCCCCGGGCCGTTATGGGGGCGGGAGTGGGGGGTTGGGGTTTTTGCTCCGGCCCTCAGTTCCGCCTGCCTTTCACGGGAAAGTGCGAGGAGGGGGAGGGGAGCCCACCGATTACGGTGATCACTCCTGCTCTTCCCCCCCCCCACTCGCTTGAGGGGGCAGGCGAGCGGTCGGGGCAAGTTTTCGCTTGCTGCGAAAGCAACCTTCAGGGGAGGTGAGGAGTGGGGTTTGCGTCCCCCACTCGCCACCAATTAGTTAGGTTTGGGCCTATAAGACCGGGCGCGGGGAGACCCATGGATGGTATACGTTGTGATTCCCGGGGTCTCCCCTTAAGCGCAGCGTAGGAACGTCTCGGTGTGGTTTTAGCCGGTAGGTCACGTTAAATAAGTGGAGTCCGGCATAACCGCCCGCCCCACCCCGGGGGCGGGGGTATCCATGAGGATTTCCACATCGTAACAAAAAAAAAGTGTTACTATCTGTTCGATATCAAACGACTTAATCCAGCTAGAAAATTATAGAAGAATTTCTTTCGAAACCTCGCTCGGATTTTCTCGAATCTTACATTAAATTTCACGGCTAAATATATTCGCGTCTCCGAGAATATTCGGCATGTTTTCGACAGTTTCAAGAGGCAGAAAAACTGTGTCGCGCTTTTTCTGCTCGTGCCGATTCTCTCCCTTTGTCTCGGGGCCTCTGAGCAAGAGGTAAACACCCGCGACAAAGAAGGACTGAGAGTATACAGAGAGACTTACTCGAAAACAGCTGATCGATTGCCTACCCCGAGAACGGCTGAGCAGTTCTTTGCCAAATCGTTTACGTCTCGGAATGTCGATAGTCGATTGGCCCCGCGCAATTTTCGGAGCACAAACGGGGGTTCGAAGTTCGAGTTCATAAAGCTCCGGTCCTCCGCGCGCTGCTCCGCACTCGCTTCCAAGTCTCGTAGCTAAGAAAGTGTTAGAATTCCTTTTGAGCGCGTACGAAATAGAAAGACTTTCGCGGTTCACGTTTAATCTACGCTGATTTCAAATCTCGTAACTCGTGCGGCTCTATTGTTCGCGGACTCGAGTGGTTTGCCCCGTGGCTCGCGGACTCGATATAAATCAATAACTTGTAAATAATTTGTATAAAGCTTCCAAAAACATTCTAAATACAAACTTAAGTTTATTGACTGCAATTCTGTCTAAATTCTCTTCTCGCCTTTTCGCCGAAATTCCTTCCGCGCTCGCGCACACTATCATTTATT